TTCAATTACCTCAAACTTGGGTAATTAAACCGACGATTGCATCTCCAACATTGTGATATGTTTATGATGCATTCAACAATCGCTGGATTTCTAAAAGTTTTGTTGAAGGAAAATGTATGCGACACTTATAATGTCGTAGCTCCAAAGATTAATCTGTTTTCGAACGATGTCTATTATACATAAACGCGATGAAAGGTGAAAGGATACATCAAATTCTCTCATCATACCATTTGTATTAGATCACATGTAGCTGGCTCATTAAAATGCACGACATTTTTACTTCGAGCTACAGCAGTCGAAACTTTGAGTCGAAACATTTGATTATCTCAAACTTGATTAAAATGTTAAAGTTACCGTTTAATAAACGGTCGGGTGTAACTTTGTAACTTTAACATTTTCGTGTGACTGTCATATGCACTCAACTTCATATTTCTACTGTAGAAATTTCGAAAAACCAGAGATGTAACAACAGAACGGGTAAGAAATCCCATCAGATGAGACGAGATGAAGTGAATGATGGCCATACTTTGTTATAGTGATTCAGCATATGTAAACTCATACATTTATCAATCTCCTATATCAGTATCATCTACTTATGATTCTAAACTGCTTGGACGAAATAAATCTACGCCGGGGAGGATAACTGAGCCAAGGGAAGAAAAATTTTCATTGCTATCTGTGAAACGATTTTATAAATAACGGAGTTCGCATGGGAATTATCGTATGCCAATAATTTTTGTCGACATAGTTTGCGTAAGATAACTGTAAAGTAGTGGGATAAGACATTTTTTTGATAGTTTTATTGTTGTATAACTGTAGTATCGTTCTTCTGATTATTACACATTATTATTGATTGTATTTTTCGTCGAGCCTGTGATAACTCGTTCATTTTATCATTCTCTTATTCTTACTTTTTCTTTGTTTTGCATAACTCCCACCCTTTCCACTAATTAATGTTGTTCTTTTCTTTTATCTCTATCGTTGATTGCTTTATCAAAATTACATATTATTTGATTCTTTAAAGGGGCTGATTTTTTAGTGATTTGTTTGTTAAATCTCGGTGCTAACGAGAGATGTTATAGATGAAAATATGTTATTTTTTGTAGTTTTATTATAATATTGTAGGAGAAAAACTCTAGATTCACATTTTCAAAGTCAAAAATCTGTGTTTAAAGGATTATTTTAATTTAAGGATTTTTGACTATTATTCAGATGGTTTATTCTTTAGATAATTTCGTTTGTGATGTCATTTGAGCTTCTATTTTCTTATTAATTCAATTAGTCTTTCAGGATTTTCGAATTTCTGAGCTATTTTAATTGATGCCAATTCACGCATTAACATGCCGCATTGTTGCCATAAGACTTGGTGGAATTGTTCCTAGCACTTCAGGTGGTGTCATTCTAAACTTCCTCTCAACAGCTGGATGGAAAAATTTTGGTAACCAACGGAATTTTTCCAATGATACGCAATTGTCTATAGCAACGGAATTGCAGGTTATTAATTCGCTTCATTTAATTTTTGAATTAAATTTAATGGGAATTAAATAAGTTAGTTTACTGTGACTAGTTTCAATATTAAATTAACTCCAAATTAATAAAAATGGAGTAACTGTTTAATGCAATATGCCTCTTACGTTCTTATATTAATTTTATTATCTGACGATCTAATAAGTCATTATCAGATTCAACTAATTTAAAAAATAAATTAAGGCTCTTCCCATTGTTCAGTGGTTCGACCGATCGATGAAAACATCGCGTAGTTATGCACAAAATTTGATTGAAAGTTCTGGCTTAAGTAGTACTCCGCTGGAACACTTGGGGTTATACACCTGGTGGAAACCCTCGTCGTGGTACCGAGTATTTTTGGAATTCCTCCATATCAATTATGAATTATCTTGGATTGCCACTGTAATATGTGGTAAAGTTTCATTATTTCCATAGTTTCCTATTTGGTTTAGTTTAAATACCAATTCAGGCTGATCTAATTTTCACTTTTTTAAAATTTAGAAGTCTTTTTAGGTTGTTAGTGTTAGTTTACATGTTCCTATGTTTTTTGAGATGCCTTCAACCTGTCATTATTGCCGTATTTACTTCGCTATCATCTCTATCGACTTTGGTTTTCATCATTTTGCTAGTGAGATCATGTGAGAATTTAAAAGCGTTCCATTCTTGGGTTCTTCAAAAATTCATAGTCCATCTAATTTAAATTCCAGTTTCTTCAAATTTCTCTGGAAAATTAAAGCCAAGTAAATTTGAACCGTGAACTTTTGGTTTTCCAATAATAATTTATTTCTTTTTCCAGGTACTGTATTAGTTCGAATAGCTACGCTATATTTGCCAGCTTTAATTTTGTGGAATAGAACGAGATTCAAAAAAGTCCCGCTTCCATTTCTACGTCGTAAGTACATTGTTCTGAACAGTTTTGTCTAGGGTTTCATATATGTTTATGACTTCATATTTCACGTAAAACTTCAAATTTCTGGCACATTTCCAGGAATTCAGAGTCAAGTTGGCTCGATTATGTTGTACTCTTCAAGCGCTGGGATCTTCTTGACGCAGTACTGCTGTATCAAGAAAATGGCCGAAGTTGTGTACGCTTTTTTCTTTTCGTGAAGTTTAATAGAAAAGTATTTAATTCATTACTAATGTAAAAAGGCAAATAAAATTATTCGCGTACTTGTAAAGATAAAGATATTTCCAGTTATCCGAGCTGGACAACAAGTGGTATATTATCGTTCACCGATCTAACAGTACCCGATCCAGCTTTTTTGTTACCCACCCTAACTGCTATTTGTTTCACTTTCACAAGTAAGGTAAATGACATTACGAATTAATTAATTTAAAAATCAATTCATTTTCATCAGTAGCAGAGGAGAGCGTTAATTTTTTTCCTAAAACCTTTTTTTTCGTTAATTTTTTTCCTTCTAAAACAAAAGGTATGTAGTCCGTTATTATCTGCCATTTAGTGCTGTTTTAAAAGCCCCCTTTCTTCTGCACATTTTTCATCGCTTCACAAACTTTCAATGTATTAAAATAATTTGTCTCATTTAAAAGTTTGTCATACTTTCATTTCACATCAGCCTGTATTACTATTCTAAATACGGCCATTGTGACGTGGAGTACTCATGCGCAGAGAATTCTAATTGAACTCTGTTTTTTTTCAGAAATGGATTGAAACGCTGCAAATGCAAAAAACAGTAAGTAATTTGATGATTGGATTAAAGCCAAATAATGCAATATACCCAATCGCTGCATGTTCATTTTTCGTTGCTAACAACGTTCCTTCGGTAAGTAATGGACAAAGAAAAGTTGAAATTGGAAATGTAATTATAGGCATTCTTAATGCGAGCATTGTTACTTTCACTTCATGCTTGCCATCTATTAATTCCAGTGCGAAGTACTAACACCTTACTTGTTGCCTTTTATGGAAGGACGTTAGGATAATTTGTTGGGAGTTAGTTAACCTTTGCTTGAAAATATATTCTGCGTATGATAATTTAACTGCTCATTGAGAAACTTTTTGAATCATTGCTTTCTCTCCCTCCTCTATTATTTGTTTAAATTTTTTATATTAACTTAATTTATCCACTTCACATAGAACTGCATAGTCTGTCAGTGTTACTTTTTCAAGTTATCTTTTAAGGTTGTATGTATTTATTGGATCACTTCAAGTTTAATTAGTAGCTTGCATGCAACGTTGCTGAGGACTGGTGCAGTACGATCTTTGTTATATTTGCCTGGTGTTTGTTCTAATCCTGCGGAAGCTCGTCGTAACGAATTGCTAAACTACGTTTCCGGTATTTCGAATTGACTTTTCGATTTGTTATTACCGTGAACATCTGTTACTTGCCATTTTCCATTGACTGTTAATTTCTTTTGAACGTTAATTGAGTAGTTTTTTAATGCATAAGTATTCTGATTGCAGGGTTTTTCAGTCAATCGGAAGATTCGTTGCAACATTAAAAACTTCTACTTATAAGAAACAGACTCAGCAGAATGTTTTGTCCGAGAAATAAGTAGGGATTATCTGGATATGAACAATGAATTTTCAGAAATGAGACGGCGTAGAGCAAACGAAACATTGGAAGCCCGGAAGAGAATTGTTGAAATTGGAAAAAAAACTCAAGAAGACGAAATATCCAAGCCACTTATAAAAGAAGCAGGAAATATTGAAAAAGATTCGCTTTTTCAAGACTCCTGGAGAGAAGGTGGTGCCTTTTCGTCTTCAAAGATTGCTAAATTAATGGAGCAACGTATACAGGAAGCAGCGCGCGCAAATGTGGTCACGAAATCTACAAAATCGAATTCGATTACGAGAGCTGATCCTCAGAAGTTTGAAATAGATGAAATTACGGCAGGCTGAAATTGAATTAAATTTTTTCTGCAGAGGTCGCTTTAGATTCCAAAAAGATGGTTTTTTAATTGGAAAATCAATAAATGACTTTTTAGATTTTTTTTATTAGATCGTCTCGTTTGTGTAATTTTATTCTGGTACTTTTTTGTTCCTAGTCAAGCGAATCAAACTGCCATTAGACGAGTAGTACATTAAAGTCTTTCAACAATTGTAATGGGAATTTATGAGTTCTGTTTTTCCTGAGTAGTATACTTATCAGTACATCTAAAATATTAATAATCAAAGTTGTATATCGTTCTTTATTCAGTGCTGTTGATTACGAGTAAACCGAATTGTATGAAATTTTGAGGCTAGCACTGTAACTTAGGTTACGTTTGTTATGTCTACTGTTCATGAGTTAGCTACTGTTGTAAATCATGTTTTGAACAGTGCACTGGTTACCTTTTTTGAACAGTTCACTGGTTACCGTTCATCATCCATCATTGATATAGCTAATAAATTAGCTATATTCAATCATTAACGTGATCAAAACATATGTAATCTATTAGTTAATGACCAGGGATGAGTATACCGTGAAAAGTTTGAATTGTTAGCATTTAAAATGAAGTAAAATTCAACAAAAAATTTTTACACACTGTAAGAAAATGCTACATGATTCGAAAAACGGTGCTTTTGACAATTGACATACGTGCTCATATTTTCTTGTTTCTTATTCGTTTCAAAAGTTGTGTTATGTTTAAGAAATACTTATGTGAACTTGTCATCAAAAATTTAAGTTTATTAATTAAGATAAAGTAAAATTTAGAAAATTTTTGCATGGTGTACAGAGGTGCTGTTTGACTCGAGAACGCCGTTCCTGCTATCATCTCTATGACCAATAGAATGAAAATCAGTTGTGAGTTCAGGCACTGGTAAATTTTAGAATTTCATGGTTCTTTGAAATTTGTACGATTGCTTTAAATTTATTATGTTCTGAGATGTTCATTAATTGCAATTGTAGTTTGAAGTGGGCAGAGATATGGGGGAGTTTATTCCTGGATTGATTTTCGAAAGTACTACATTACAGAGAGGGAATTATACTGCAAAATTGATCGTGATATCATTTGATTTCGGGATGCTTCCAAGACATCTGCAGATGATGCTACAACTCAGACGGTATCATCTGAGGGAATTGACGTCTTCGTCATCAGTAAAAATGTCACGGGGACAAAGTTTAATTGCTGACCGTTACCAATTAATTTTACAAGTTAGGCATATATCTTTTTTCGGGAGCGGTTCAAAGCCTTCGACTTCATCAGCGATTCCCGAGATATTGGTAAGTTCGTGTTAGCATGTGTGATAGCTTTATTATGGAAAGTAATACCAGCGTAGTAAGTTTGGTCCAGTGATGTTTAAGTATTTTCTAATTTTAAGACCATTATATGACTAATTAAATTTAAAGCTAAATCATTTTCGATTTAATCTTAATTAAACTCCATCGAACTAGTTACAGTTGGGCTTAAGTTGCATGAAATAAATTTAACTAGATTGATTTTAGGTTAGCTTCTTACAGGCTGCACCTACAAATACATCATCGATTTCTACAGATTCAACAGATTTTACGCTGATTGAACAACTGCAACTGGGTTTGGTGAAAGATTTTCATTTATTTGATTTTGTTGGTGGGAATTCATTGGTCAAAGAATATGATCTATTTTCATGGTGGAGTCCGGCATCATGGTTTCGATTAGCACTGGAATATATGCATTTTAACATTGATTTACCATGGTGGCTAACCATCGTATGTGGTAAGTATGTATAGATAAGGATTTAATATGGAAAATTCTTATTTATTGATAATTTGAATTCGAGTGAGGTTATCCGGTACTTTCACAGGGTAAAATTTCTTGCAATTACGTGCCATAATTTTGCCCAGTAAAATTTGTTTTGCTTTGATTTTCCCATCCGTAATATTTTCGAAAAAAAAGTTCCACCAAGTATATTTACATTTAATAAATTAATGATTTACGAGTGATATTTGTTCACAATTCCATTTTAGCCACAATAAGCTTACGGTTACTGATGATATTTGTACCGATCGCTTCTCATCGACTTATGGGACGAGTACAGTTATATAAAAAAGAAATTGATAAATTTAAAGAAAAAATGGAAATTGCCCAAAAAAGCGGAAATTTTTTGCAAAGTTTGTCTTTTCTATTTTTAAGTAAATCCCACGCTCCATTTTGCCGGAAAATTTTATTAATTTGATTATTATTCTTTGGAAATAATTTCCTTTGTCAAAGACCGACATTTTAATTCTATAAATAGTGGCATATTATTTTTCCTTATCTGTGTGCCTTTATTTCCAAAGGTAATAGTTGCTCTGCAGGGTAAATGTGGAAAGCACTTTTCTGCTTTAAGATATAAAACACAGCAAATATTGATGTGGAATGATGTAAACTACTTTGTACGGTAGTTTATCAGAATTTTGGAGCTTCACTTATCAGTAAATTGGATTTCAGCGATAGAAATTCAGAAAGAGATGAGAGATTTCTTGAAAACAAAGAACATCAAGCTGTATCGACAGTTTATATTTATGAGTCTTAATGGCGCTATCTTCATGACACAGTTTATTGCGGTCAAAAAATTGGCTGATGTTTCGTAAGCTTCAACGTTGAATTTGGAAGTAAATTATCGTGCCTGGGACAATGGTTTTGCGTGTTAAACTTATTTTATTTTTTCAGTTTTCCTGGTATGAGCACTGGCGGTTTATACTGGTTCAAGGATTTGACCGTCCCAGATCCTTATTATTTGCTTCCACTTATTTCTGCTATCACAGTCGCTGCAGTATTCAAAGTAATCCAATGGAATTCTTATCTATACACGATTTATTATAGATATTAGTCGCACAATCTCCAACATATAGCTTCGTTTTCAAGAAATATGAAAAAATTCCAAGTTTTTGAGGAAAACTTTAAAATTTTGCACTATTTTTGATCATTGTTGGAATGAAATTTTGCTTAGGATCCCACAAACTCAACTTTAGAAAGATAAAGACAACAAAGCTTCAAGTTTGAATTTAAAGGGAAAAAAATTGAATAATGGATAGAATAACATAAATTCCATAACAACAACTTTTACTTTTTCTACTTTATTTTTTTCTTTCTATTATCATCTAGAATCTATTTTCGAGTAGATGGGGGCCGAAACTGGTGGATCAAATCAAAGCGTTAGTCCGCAGATGCAAAAGATGCTGACCAGAATCGGACCAATTGTGGTTTTTGCATGTAGTACCAAAGTTTCTTCAGTGGGTTTTCCTTATTTTCAGGAAATACGTCGCAGTCAGTAATTTAAAACTTGTGATGCATGAAAAGATTAGGTCTGCAAAATTAAATGCAATTTATATAAAAAAGAATAAGTTGCAATGAGTTTCTCCATTTTACATCAATTAAATGCCGATAAACCTTTTAACTTTTAACTTTTAACGATAAACCTTTTAACCTTTTAAACTTCAACTTTTTGATGTCGAATTTTTCGTGTTCATAGATTTTTTCTGCATTCGATTCATTCTTCAATTTTACAGATTGTATATTTGTATTATAATTTTGATGGCCTAATGCATATTCAGTTATAAAAAGAGCCCATTGGAAATTTCAGGCCATAGCCTTATACTGGTGCACATCAAATATGATCTCTGTAATGTTTTCTGGAATACTGAAGATTCCACTAGTCCGTGCTTCCCTGAAGATACCTCAGCTACCATCGAAGCAAGTGCGTTCCTACAAAAAAGCTCTTGGCCAAAATATAGATCAGGGGACTGCGAAAAAGTAAATCTTTTCTTTGAACAATGTTAACTAAAGGAAGAATGCTTCAGCAAATTTGTTGAGATTTTAATTTTATTAACTCGCTGTGTTTTTTAGGCAAGGTAAAAAAACATTTATTGAAAAGGCAAAAGATGTCTCTGATGGATAGGAATCATAGAAGGTTAGTTATTCTCATGAATTTTACCTACTGAGATTCCCAGACTTTCTTATTGCTTTCGTTAGTGGCATGATCTGATGTGCGTTGTATATTCTAATTTCATGTTCCTCTTCACTTCATTCGAATCACCTTCCTTTTTATTTCGTTTGAATCAATTTGTATAATTCGAATTTATTTCAGAACTGGAAAGCGAATGAAACGGAGGAGAAAGTAGTTGAAAAGAAGAGATAGTTACGTGGCGGTACATTTCATATGTTTCAGAAAGTTATTAATTTTC